ATGGCCATCGCTCATAGGTTAACATTGTGGCATCTATCTTTTCTCTGACACAATGGGAGATTTCAAAGGCTAAATCACAAGTCTGGATACTGACCTTGTCAGATGAAATTTTACAGAAATCATGTCTTGGCTGCTCTTGCAGATGTTAAAGGGTTAGTTCACCCAAAAATGAAAATTCTGTTAGTATTTACTCACCCTCATGTTGTTCCAACCCCGTAAGACCTTCGTTCATCTTCGCAACACAAATTAAGATATTTAAGATATTAAGATCGCTCCTGCATAGAGTCCATAGGCTTCTTGAGGGACTGGCTCTTGCTGTCCCCGAAAAGTCATTAAAGACATCGTTAAAATAGTCCAAGTGACTACAGGGGCTCAATCTTAAGTTTATCAAACGACGAGAACACTTTTGTGCGCAAAAAAACAACAAAAATAACGACTTTATTTCAACTATTCACTTCCTTCTCCATGAGCCTGTAAGTCAGTTAACGTAGTGTGATTGCGTAGAGCTACGTCACACGTAGGCTCACTATTGGCCGACGCTGGTCATGTGTGTGTGATGCGTGTGACGTACAATAACAGAAGCTTACACTATTAAACTAGTAACCTGACTCGCGCAGAGGGAGAAATAAACGAATAGTTGAAATAAAGTCGTTATTTTTGTTGTTTTTTTGCGCACAAAAGTGTTCTCGTCGTTTGATAAACTTAAGATTGAGCCCCTGTAGTCACTTGGACTATTTTAACGATGTCTTTAATGACTTTTCGAGGACAGCAAGAGCCAGTCCCTCAAGAAGCCTATGGACTGTATGCAGGAGCGATCTTAATATCTTAAATATCTTAATTTGTGTTCCGAAGATGAACGAAGGTCTTACGGGGTTGGAACAACATGAGGGTGAGTAAATACTGACAGAATTTTCATTTTTGGGTGAACTAACCCTTTAAACAACATTTGCAATATATTACTTCAGCTGGACATCTAAATGGATTATACATAGACAACTGCTATGGAAAGGACTTAGTAGTGGTAGGCTATCAACAATTGATTTATTGTGAAACAGGAACCATTCCTTTCCATTCTTAACACCGTTGGCCTTTTTGGTCTGAGAGGACCACACCACTCAAAATGAGATGCACCTACATGTCTAACTCTCATGTATTAGTAGACTATTGAGAGACTGGTAGGGTTAGGGTCAGAGTAAGTTTACATATACTTGCAAAGTTACTTATAGTTAGTATTATGTCTGTTGGAAGAGCATCACAATAAAGACATATTAAGCAGACAGAATACTCTAATGAGAGTTAGTTGACTTTTAGATGCAATAATGTTCAAAAGGGACCATCAAAATAAAGTGTTAAATTATGTTTTCCCCCCTATTGGGCATGGCTATAATGGTTATAAAAACCAAATAGGAACAAACAAGCTGAGCCAAGGTGTAGGTTTGAACAGCCAAGAAAATAATACATAAGCAATAACAAATTAAGACTTGGTGTTGTCAAATCGACATAAATAATCCTGTCATTTGACTGCATGTGTAGTATAAAATCCTTGAGCAGTCTGTAGATGTAATATGAAACAAACATTCTGGCAGCTGTCAACTGCTGAGGCAAGGAAACAAAATTAAACATGTAAAAGAAACTTAATTGGGTTTCTATTAGTCTGCCTGACAGACTCAGGAACACAACAGGAAATTATTTGGGATCAGAGCCACATATTCATTTATAGGAACAAACACACACACCAAGAAAAACGCAATTATGGTGTGCTAAATATCAAAAGCAAATGTTTTGTTTACCAGTGTCTGAATGCATCCGCATACAATTGAATTCAGTCAATAAAACAGCCATGGGGAGAGGAATCAATACAATGTTTTTGGGGCAAAAAGGGCTTCTGTTAAAGTCTGAGCTTGTAACCTAAAGGTCAGATGAAGAGTTGCTGAGCTCCTCTTTCACCGTTGAGCCCACGTAACCCCAGGGTGCTCCGGGGGTGACTGTCCTTTGCCTTTAAAAAAATACTTTGGATAGAAAGCACCTCCTAAATGTCAAATAAACATATTGAGCACAGATCCACAGAGCATAAAATCATCAGCAGGATGCCACATCTATATCATCTGCAAATCTTTCATCTGTTTTTATAAAATGGTCAGCACATTACAAAATCATCATTTATTTTACTTAAACATTTGAGCATTACAATGTTAATTCATTAAGTGTCATCATATTTTTTTATCATTAACAGTCTACCTAATGCTATGTGTGTTTTTAATTCATAAGGAAATTATCAATCAAAGGGCTACAATAACAATTGAAGTTCTAATCCAATTCTATGAGAACAGAGAAGTCCACACCGCTATAACAATAATGAAATCACTTTCAGAATTATTTTTATCATTAATATTACAGCTGATAGCTGACAATAAGAATTCAATTTTACAGAGCTTGAGTGTTTAAAGTGATAGATGATAAAATAAACAGAACATCACTGTCTGTTGTGAATGCAATATTTGTATTTGTAAGCAATGAAGTACGAGAAGTTGTGCTGTTTCAACGCATTCTCATCCTTTAACGTCATATAGAGCGCTATATGACAAAACGGCGCTATACTACGCTAAAGGCACCCGTTATCGTTAATATAACACGTGCTGTGAGGGCTAAGTTTAGGTGTGGGGTAGGGTGTACGTGTCATATTCACGCTAAAGGATTTATAACGTCTTGGGTTCGCGTGTTATATTAACGATAACGGGTGCCATGTGCGTAGTATAGCGCCGTTTTGTCATATAGCGCTCTATATGACGTTAAAGGATGAGAACGGGCTGGCTGTTTTGTGAATACATGTCTGCTTTTAGGCACGACTTCATTAAATAAATAATTAACAGTTTTTGCTGAAATACATGACATGAGTTTTGACAGTGTAAGGCTAAAGTATGTAGCACAGTGATACACGAATCTGTTTGGTGAAACGGTGAAATGTGCTTTATCGTAATTAAATCATGGCTATTGACCAATCAGCATCAAGGAACTTTACAATTAATAATTAACTATCATTATCAATCCAATCAGTGTTTTTTGTTTTCTGAAACACCAATACATTCAGTACCGCCATTACTCACTTTGTGTTGACATGCAATTTTTAACTATGCTTCAGCTTTGTTTCAAATTCTTTTCACTGGTGGACCAAAACCAGACAATTGTCTTTGTAAGCTGCTATTAGTATAAGCTGCTTAATATGAATACATTTTTTTTTATGTAACTGTTCTGTAAAAGCAATCTCACCCTTGCAGTAATGCTGTGATATGTTGTTTCATTTATTGTTCAAAAGAACAACAAACAAATAAAAAACCCTTAAAAACTAATAGTTACAATAAATAAAACAATGAAAACAAAATACACAATAAAACATAAAAAAATGAGTGCACTAATACTTGAAGAAGTTTGAGAGATTTTTCTTTCTTTTGATATTTACACGTGTATGTTGGTAGGGTGGAATTCGTATTCAAGAGAGTAATTGCTTTTAATCATGAGCTGCACAAGCTAAAGACAGGTGCCAAAATCAAGACTATTCTTCCAGACACTGAAGAAGCATCAATCCGTCTGCTGTGTGGTGTCCCTCTAAAACACACACACACACACACACACACCGTAATCCCTTACACGCACGAGCACACTCCTTTTTCGCTTCTCATTTGTATCATCAGCTTAATGACTGGATTGGGCAGTTTGCCTGAATCACTCTCAAGCTCAGGCCAGAGTGCCGGTGGCTTTATTAACTTGGTCTGTTTCCAGACTTCCCATTACCAAGTCCGGCTGTAATTCCCATCCCATTCTGCCTTTCCGCTCTGCATCATTTCACCCGACATCACCCTATCCACTCGCATGGCCTATTCTCACACCCCTCCATTCCAAAAATTAAATTTACCCTGCAGAGAGAGAGATAGAGAAATAGAGTGTATGTGTGTGTGTGAGAGAGAGAGAGAGCGAGAGAGAGAGAACTGAACTGTGCAGTATATATCTGTATGGTGCAGTGAAACATGCTTGGAAAAGCTCTTCCTTTTCTCTCCAGCAGTTAGAGTCTCACTTTGTCTGTGTTGCTACTGAGAAAATTCAATTAAAATAAGAGTACAGTGAACACACATTCAGCCCCAGACAGTTTGAAAGTTATACTCCTAATGCTTCTTTCTCTAAGTAGACACAATAAAAGTTATCTTTTTCTATACTTCTCTGGGGGAAAAAAACAACAACTTTGCTTCTGTTTTTTGGGGGGTTTCCTCGGGCTAACAGAGGGAGCATATACTAACAAAACTACTTTATAAGTAGACATGGCACTTAATGATAGCAATGACAGTAGTACCAAATTACTTAATTGTTCAAATGGTGCATTTTAAATAGAGTTATAGGTGTTTTTTTTTGTTTTGTTTTTCTCTACCCAATCCCTAAACCAAACAACTACCTTACTTACTATTAATAAGCAGTTATTAGAAGTTTATTGAGACAAGAGCCATAGTTGAGAATTGGACTCTCATCTAAAGTGTGACCAAAAGGGAAAGTCTTTGAAATAGCTTTTTTTTTTTTGTAACAATGTAAAAGTCTTTCCTTTCACATTTGATCAATTTAATGCATTCTTGCTAAATAGAAATAAGCATTAACAGCAGCAAAAGTGTTTTACTCTCAGTCATACAATGGCGTTTATCTTAGCAGTGAAATAATAACAAATTATCTTGAATGTCATATCTAAGTGGTTATTTATTGCAAATAGGAATCCATATTTTATAAAACTCAATTTCCCCTCAAAAGATATGGCAAGAAAGCAAGACATTTCTTTAACCCACTAAGGTCTTTAGATATCTTTTTATTTTAAAGCATTTACATGTTTGGTCAATATAATAACAAATCTATTACCTTATGTAGATTTGAAAATCATGCTTTCTTGATTATTGTTGAATCAAGGAGGCTGTACCAGTTACTTTGCTGAGAGATCTCTTTATTTATTATAATACATGTGTCAGACAGAGAGAAACAGGCATAGAAGAATAAGGCTACAGATGAGGAGGTCTTGATTCCAGATTTCTCTGTTCCCCATTTCTCCTTCCTCTCACCCCGTCATGCCTTTATGTTTCTCTGGGGTGGTAAAGTAAGATTGAGCTTAGATACACCACTATGGGACTTATAGCTTCCTTGTAGAAAAAAACAACAACAAAAAAACATGTTGCTTATGCTTAAAAGGTAACCTATACCTTTTGCTTATTGGTAGAATCCACTTTCCCTCTGTGTATACATTAGTGGTACATTTGCATCAGTTGAAACCTTCATTTCCTTGGAAAGAACATGCCATCATTAGAAGTATTATCATTAGTGGAACATCTGCTCAGTGAACACATATAACTTTCCCAGCTCTCTGCTGCAGCACACATGTACAAACATACTCTGTCTGAATTTTTAGTTTTCCCCTTGCGTTTTCTTCCATTAACATCTCAAATCACAGGCTATATATGCAATAAATGTAATTTGGCTTCCACAAGAACAATTTCTCCAGTTAAATAACAAATTAAAAACTTCCTCCCAGTATGTTAAAAGCTCTCTACACTCCCACACAGTTTAAATTGTTATGACGACCAGATACACTGCAAGCAGACATTCTAAACAAAGTTTCTTTTCATCTCTGCAACATAATACCATTGAAAAGAATAAACCATGATGTATTCTCACCCTATGCTAGACAACAAATATGAGTGAAAACATCATGACCACCTATGCTGTTGGTCCTCCGAATGCTGCCGAAACAGCGCCAACTTGCGAGGCATGGACTCTACAAGACCCCTGAAGATATCCTGTGGTATCTGGAATCAATACGTTAGCAGAGATCCTTCAAGTCCTGTGGGTTGCAAGGTGGAGCTGCCGTGGATTGAACTTGTTGATCCAGCATTGCTCAATTGTTTTGAGATGTGTGGAATTTGGACCCCAGGGCAACTCTTATTTGAGTGAACTCTGCAGAGTTTAGCTTCAACCCTAATTAAACACACCTCATAAAGCTCATCAAGTCCTTCAGGCTTATTTGAAAACCACATGTGTGGAACTGAGATTTGCATCCCTGCTGTTGGATTTCTTAAAGCTGATATATGGCAATGTGTTCAGCAGAGTAAGCTTCATTATCATTGCATCATCCACTACTTAGGAATAACAAGATGCAATTCATATAATTTATGATGCAATATCAGCTTCAGATTGCATAAAAAGCTGTCCAAAGACGTAGATTTACTCGTAGATACAGTCAAAGATGTTGCATTTTAGTCATTTCTGGTTTAAATTGAGATCCCTTCCCTTTATAACTCACTTATACTTCGCCATTCTCAAGTCAAGGGTCAAATATACTGAACCAATTAGCATACCTTGAAAACTAGAGCCAATCAACAATTTTTGTTCTCAGTGACCCAGAATTAGTAAAGTTTCACTATTTATTTCAGAAGCATTTTGACCAGTGTAACATCATTGCACTTTCTGCAAGGGTTTATTCCTCCTACACCAATTTCATGTCTGTTAAAAAAAGGGAGGTTGTGAACATTTAGTACCAGCTCAGCTTTGATATAACATCAGGTGTCTTAAGCTCCAAGTCTGTCAGTTAGTTTGAAAAACATCTAATTATGGCCTGCTGATTTGCATAGCCTATTTAATGAATTCCATTCTAGCATTTCTATGTGATTCATGGAATTGTCATTCTAATTATAGTCCTCTTTTGCGCCTCGCCAGTTAAAACATAACAGTAGCTAATCCCACTAAACATGAGTGTTTGCACATCCATCTACATTGACAGTAATAGGTTTAGAAGTGAGTGCTCGGTAGATGATGTAAATTCTTTGGCTTTCATTGTGCAAGCGTTCGTCATAGATTTTCTCGTCTTTGCATTGGAGCATCTCATTCCCCAGATGATACTAATCAATGATGTCATTGTTGACCTTTAAAATGCCAGAGTCCATGGCTGAGGGTCTCTGTCTCTCCATCCTTCTCTTGGCCTCATTCTTGCACACAAAAAGCACAAAATATTTCTAGACTTCTTTCGGATGTGCCATTTGAGTAGAAGAGCGGACCCGATCATAATTTTGGATCCCATCGTAAGCAATACATACACTGTAAATGATTTCTGTTGTTTTCACAGGATTATACTGTTTTTCTCAACAGTTTCTTACTGTATAATCTATGTACAGTAAGTTACAGTAGATTTAGTTGTTTTCACAGTATTAAATTGTTTTTTCAACAGTTATGGACTGTGCACACAGTTGACAGTATGTTACTGTAGAATTGCAATGCATTCTGGGAAATTATCAGTTACTGTTAATCTAAATACAGCAGTGCAATTGACCGCGAAAAACACCACACACAGTTCCACGGGTAAAATTGCTAGCCTACTAATGTTATTCTTACATTTAAAATAAAAATGTAGCACTGGTTGACCATTAACAGTCATCATTTATGACATAATGTATGTCAGTGGGGTGTGCATGAGAGCATATTTGACTTTGGAAGAGTTTCTCTGTCGTGTCAGTGGTGCTGCTGTCTTTTCTGCCGACCTGCAACTTCTTCATCTGGTAAGTAATAATTCTTATAATGTGTATGCAAATGGATTCTAGCTAATAATAACTTTAAAGTTATTTAGAATAGCTGACCACGATTTCTATATTCAATTTAATATATTCTAGACATTTTAATATAATATGTATATGATAGGCTACTCTTCAATGTAGCCATTTGGGATGTTACTGTAAATTCAAATACATTAGTACGAAATGACCGCGAAAAATAACCACAACAAGCTGCCATTTTATGAAGAACTCTTCAGTTCCCTTCCCTCTGTAAGAACACGCAGGCCGTGCATCGCGTCGCTGTCGGTCGGCAACGTTTTCGCCATACATCTGGTTAGTAATTCATATTTTTATGCAAACCATATGAGTTAACAGATTACCGTTAGAAAGAAGTGGCCGCGGAATGTTCGATAACGTCTGTATAAGTCAGACGCGGATTTCTTTTATGTTGATAGCCTTACTTGATTAAATGTGATTTTATTAACATATATTTCATATGTAACCTCTTATACGGTCAAAATGGTCTAATCATTTGTTATTTACCACGTTAAGTCGGTGGAAGCGCCTGCACGTTCATTATTTTATGACTTACAGGGGTTAGGAATTGATAATCGATAAATGTATCCTGAAATCGGACATCCAAGGTTAGGATTCGGATTTATTGTTATAAAATTAAAGTGCCGATTCCTCTTATTGATTTTTTTCACGCTTATTTTCGTGTAAATCCTGACCTGGCGTTCTGCCATTATAACGTTACCTCAGTGATAAAGTTGGACCGCGGAAAGCGCCCAAGGTGTATTTTTGTCCAAAATACAAAGCTATGTGTGACATTTACAGTATTTGTTGTGGTCTTTGTTAATCTTTGGTTATCATTAACGACACATACACGAGGGAGTTAGCCTGGTGTTGAACACTTTACTAGCGAACTTAGAATCAACAACAACAAAAAAACCCCGGGTCATACCAACTACACAAACTGCCTGGGGGTGTTCCGGTAGGAACCATTCACTGCATATACTACAGTATTGTCGGCTATAATATCATTTTTTTTTTTTTTTTTTTTTTTTTTTTACTATGTGTAAACTGACATGTACTCATTTGAAGGGAACGATGCCTTGTCAATCTTTTTTTAAGTCATGTAACTTAGTATCACACAAGCAAGATTTAGCCTACGTTTTCACGTGATCGTAAATGAATTGATTTTAAACAACAGTCCAACAAACAAGATTTTAGTATTAAGTGAATTACACTTTAGACATCATTTTGTCTGTTTTTGCTGTTTAGCCAAAACAACAACAAAAACGTACTATATTTTAACTGTCTTGTCTGTTCTCCTTTTCCACAGGTGTGAGCTGTGCATGTTAAGAAGACCCCTATCCATCTTGACGACCGATGAATTGTAAATCTAATCTAATTTAATTATTCTATTTATCTAACTACTACTACTATACCTTGGTCCAGTACTGACCCACTGAGAACATTTTAAACGGATTTTTATCCATCTGTGAATTTTGTCTATCTGCAAGTTGTTTAGAATTGTTGTGTGAAAATAAACGTTACAGTACAGTTTAAGGTTTAATTGCATAAAAGCTTGGATAGAAAACTTCCTATTGCAAAAGTTAGAACATAAGTCTGCATATAAATAATTATTGATACCGTAATGCAAGTTTTTCATGGCACATGTGCATGATGAGGTTGTTTTGTGTTTATTTTTATTTTTTTTAAAGGACACTGGATAATTTGTCATTTTGTTATACTCATCTGGATTGGTGGTTTACTCGTCAAAGCTTTTATAGTTTATAAGTTTATATGTGTCTCCCAGCCCTGCAAATCTGGTCCCTTAGATAGAAAGCAGCCAAAAACCCTTTAAAATCAGCAACTGACCAGTTAGACAGTCTATCTCAAACCAATAGACAATCTTAGACTAGTTTAAGCTGTTTTACCCCAGCAGGGAGTGGGTGGATGAGTTGTTATGAACTATCTTTCTAATAGATTGATCAGATAGCACCCCTTTAATCTTTTCTATTTTACCTGTTCATGATAATTTTTGCATGTATTTATGCATAATTGTTCATGATTGTCATGCATGATTTTTATTGTATTATATTACATTTTTATTATTAATGTATTTAATTGTATTAATGTATTTAAATGTATATTATGTAAATGTACTAATGTGTTTGAAAATACACAATAAACCTTGTGCAGTTAAAGCTTCAATTGTTCTTTTTTCTATTGTGCAGTTAAAGCTTCAATTGTTCTTTTTTCTATTTCCCATTAACAGTTAAAATAATATTTCTACAGATTTTCTACAGGTTACACAGTAGCACTATAAAATAAATACAATAACATTTCATACTATACAGTATTATTAAAAATTAACAGTGTAATTCTGTACTTTAATATGGTAAGAAATTACAGTAAAATAATGTTATTTAATTTGCAGTATGCTTAACAGTACTGTAGTTAGTGTTACGGTAATTTTACTGTTAAATGAAATACAGCAAGTACTGGATAATTGTTGCCAGTAAGTTACTGTTAATTTGACAAGAAATTTTTTACAGTGTAGATTGACAGAGATGTAATTGCTTTGTTTATTAGAATGTCAAAGAAGATGTCAACATATTGTGCGATTTAGCGGATAACACTGATATCAAAATCCCTGTATTGCCTGAAAGCAAACATTAATCACTGGATGATAAGAAGTTAATGGGATTCACAGGTGACAGTGTGGACACCTCCTAGCAGCAATGCTGAAATAAGACCAATATCAGCTCATAACAGACACACACTCACACACACACACACACTTATTTCACACTAAATAAATCTTATTACGTTGCAGATAAACTTTAACGACAGAGAGCAAAACTTCTATTATGACCACCTTTAGAAAGCGCAATGTAGGGAAACACTCTTGACAACAAACAATTCTGTAAAAAGTTTACCCTTGTGACCGAACTACTATTTCGTTCAGAAAATCCAAATTTTGCTGTAATCTATATCAGCTAGTGTGATTCTATTGGAGCACCATAAATACTTTATGAATAAAGAATATATATCAGCTATCTGATACCATCACTGATTATGCAAGCTACAACTACAATACTTTTAGTAAGAGTCTGAACAGAAGCATACTGTGTGTTTCTGTAAATATGAAGAGATCAGGACTAAGACAGGCTGTTTCTTTGATGGCAGCTTAAGTCTCTCACATGGACTGGTGATCAGCCCACTCAAGCCATAAGCCATCACACTATCATTTCTCAGGAAGTGAGGGGGAGGAGACTAACCTTCTCAAACTGCTTTCCTTTTCTCTTTTCTATTCCCTAAGCTTCTCTCCTTCCCTAA